GTGAACCTGGGAAGAGAAGCAGAAGGACAGGGTTAGACGCAGGGGAAAAACCAAGGGCTGGAAAACAGAGATCTATGCAGGAGTTATCAGGAGTTCGAGAGAAGTTGTGGCATCAGGTTGGGAGCAACGACGATCAAGCGGAGAACTGGGGTTGATATACAGGCAGGGATGAGGTTGATTGCTGGCAGGTGTGGGAGGCAGAGGAGGTGGCTGACGAGGTGCAGGTGCGGGTCGTTGGCTGGGCTCAGGAGCGGAGGAAGAAAGAGAGGAAGAGCACAGGCAGGGGAGGCAGACAGAGTACAGGGAAACAAAACAGTGGGAGAAATAAAATGAGAAAGAACCAGGACACTCACCGTCAGCCGGGCTGACCCCTCAACGGACGTCCCCAAGCGGCCACTCGGCTTATCTGGATGGGCCCTGTAAGAGTTCGTCAGGAGGGTCTTGTTTAGGATCTGGCTGGAGGGAATCCAGGAGCGCTCCTCCAGGCCATAACCGGCCCAGTGCACCAGGTAGCGGTAGCCCCGACCTCTTCGTCGCACGTCCAGGAGCCGACGCACCATGTAGCCAGGGTGACCGTCTATCATCCGTGGCGGGGGAGGCGCTACCACTGGTACAGAGAGGGTGCTGGTGGCGACAGGCTTGACTCTGGAGACGTGGAAAATGGGGTGGACTTTCAGGTGGGCCTGTACAGAGGGGACTACCACCTCCTCCTCCAGGGACGGGAACAGGGGGGGCTGGTAACCCGAGGCGCACATGAACAGGGACATACCAGTGGCAGCGCTGACCTGGGAGTTGTGTGCGTACTCAATCCAGGGGATGTAGGATCTCCAGGGGTTGGGACTGCGGTACGCCACGCACCTGAGTGGCGCCCTCACAACGACCTTTGACCGGAAGGGGGCGAAGCAGACCGGCGGGCGGTTGATGGGAGGGTTTGGCGCGGTTGCGGGCCATCCCAGGGTGGCAGCTGAACTTGGAGGAGTGCACCCACTGGAGGACCCGGGACGTAGAGACGGTTCTGGGGGCCGGTGCCAGGGCCGTGATCAGTGGACTGGGCTCGGCGTACGGTACCCTCCACCTTCCAGACCATGGAGGCGATGAGACAGGAGCGTGGTAAGATGGTGTTGGGGGGATCTGAGGCAGTGTCTGTGGAGTGGAGCCGGGAGAGAACACATGGTTTGATGTTGCGGGATCCAGGGCGGTAGGAGAGGGTGAAGTTGAACCGGTTGAAGAACAGGGCCCACCGAGCCTGGCGGGAGTTCAGTCTCTTGGCAGTTTGCATGTAGGAGAAGTTCTTGTGATCGATCCATACCAGAAAGGGGTGTTCTGCTCCCTCCAGCCAGTGCCTCCACTCCTCCAAAACCAACTTGATGGCCAGAAGCTCTCGGTCCCCCACGCTGTTGTTCCTCTCGGTGGCGGTGAGACGACATGAGAAGAAGGCGCTGGGATGGAGCTTGCTGTCCTCCAGTAAGCGCTGGGAGAGGGTGGCACTGAGGCGTCCACCTCGACCACGAACTGGAGGGAGGGGTCGGTGTTGATGAGGACAGGGGCGGAGGTGAACAGGGTTTTGAGGCATGTGAAGGCTTCAGCAGCTTCTGGAGATCAGGCAAAGGGGACTGAGGTGGAAGTGAGAAGGTGCTGTAATTCCGGATGAAACGGCGATAAAAGTTTGCAAACCCAAGGAAACGCTGCAGCTGCTTAACGGAGGTGGGGGTAGGCCAGTCGGCGACTGCCTGGATCTTGGACGGGGCGAGGCTGCCCTTTTTCGATGACGAAACCGAGGAATTGGAGGGAGGGACTCGAAGATCAAATCCATGAGTGCCAGAGGGTACTTGTTTTTCACGGTGATGGCGTTGAGCCCCCGGTAATCAATGCAAGGGCACATGCTTTTGTCTTTGTTTTCAACAACTGGGATGAGGATGGGCGAACGATGCTGGCTGCAGGAGAGTCTTAAATATACTACTCCATAGACTCCCTCTCCCGGCGCGACAGGTTGTATAGGTGTATAAGATGAGTGCACGTGCTCAGCATCATATCCAGAGGATGTCTTTGGGAAATAGACATATGAGTGCTGCCAGTGTTGCTGCAGAGGCTGAAGGGGTGGGGGTCAGCCTGTCAGTGCTCAGACCATTCATCGCATACTGCATCAAATTGGTCTGCATGGCTTTCACCCCAGAAGGAAGCCTCCTCTGAAGATGATGCACAAGAAAACCTGCATGGATTACTGGAACCATGTCCTCTGGTCTGATGAGACCAAGATAAATTTATTAGGTTCAGATGGTGTGAAGCATGTGTGGCAGCAACCAGGTGAGGAGTACAAAGACAAGTGTATCTTGCCTACAGTCAAGCATGTGGAGGGAGTGTCTTGGTCTGGGGCTGCATGAGTGCTGCCGGCACTGGGGAGCTACAGTTCATTGAGCATCTGTGGGGCATCCTCAAACGGAAGGTGGAGCAGCACAAGATCTCATCTACCAGCTCCATGATGTTGTCATGGAGGAGTGGGAGAGGACTCCAGTGGCAACCTGTGAAGCTCTGGTGCACTCCATGCCTAAGAGGGTTAAAGGCAGGGTAGGCAACACTTTTTGTCATATTTGTTGAAATTGTCTGTATGTTATTCTGTTATATCTCTGACATTTTACAAATATGGTAATGTAGCTGTGTGTTTGTAGTTATGAGAAGGATATTTTGATGGCCCCTCTGCAGGGTTCATACTGCTGTTGGTGTGCTTTCTGTCTCCAGGGCTGCAGACCTGGCAGGGTAATCAGCGGCATGGGATACACCTGGGCCTGCATATAAGCCATAGCAGCAGTTACAGTAGTCTTGGGTTGGACCTCCTTATCTCACAGCTTCCTTTGTTTGTTTGTCTGGTTTCTTGTCTTAGTTTGTACAGTACAACATCCATGCAGCACATTTTCCCTCATCCACTCCCTACACTACTGATTTTACAGATTCTCATAGGTTTTGCTTATTTTCTTATAAGCAAATCACTTTGGTATTTAGTTTACCGGTTTGTCTCACGTTTTTGTCCAGTCCATGAGCCGGGCTGTGACAGTAAATCAACGTTGGTGTACATAAACAACGTTGGCTAAAGTTTTTCTGGTATATTAGCTACTTATTATATAGTATGAATACTGTGAATTTGAGCTGTTATGCCATTATTTATTTTTACCAGAAGTAAAAAATACTGTAGGTTTTATTTCTACTGTGCCCTCAGGTCACCTGCAGATTTGGAGCATACGATGCTCAGACCTTGCTGGCTGGCCTGGATTACAACCACCGTGTCCACAGACCAGCCAGGAGAAAAGCTAATGACACAGTTCAGTATGTTGCATTTTTATCACTCCTATGCATTTTTCTCAATACATTTATAAGTGAGTCAAAAAAATATTAAACAGTATGAGGAATACAGATAGATGGTGCTGATGATTGCATTTTATGTGGAAATGCTAATTACTGTATTAGAGAACAATGTCAAGTACTGCAAACTTTTCACTAAGCTGATACTCTTTTCTGTATTATCAGGTACAGCAAGGTATAAAAGTCTAGAAAGTGGAGCTTGTACACATCGAAGGTGGAGAAGGACTACAGTAACATCGCAGACCTCCAGTGTGCCATCCTCCTCCTCTGTCTTTCTTCCTGTTTATTTTTATTTTTAATGATGTTTAAAAACGATCTATTTGTGACATAAGTTGTAGTTTTAGTAGCATATAGTAACAATAAACAATAATATCATTATTTCAGACATAAGACAAATGTAGTTGTTTATGCTGCAAGTGTACAGAAAAGGCATTTATCATTTTCAGTGTTTTATTTAAAAAATAATTAAAATATTATCTAGAACAGGGAAAAATATCCTTTGTATTTTCTCTACCCTCCTGGGCATAAAACAATGTCCAGGTATTCATCCGCACAGTGGATGGAATTATTGGTGTAGTACTGTGTCAGTTAGTGACTTTACATCTTACACCATGCTAGGATTAAAGCTCTGTATTGTCCTAGTAGATCAGGAGAACAGCCACATTTCTTCCAGAAACAGCAACTTAGTATCACGACTCTGTGTCCAAATGCTCCACATTGCCACACTGCAAACTGTCTGTATGCTGCCTGACTGATAGGGAAATGCCCAACTCATATGTAAGAGTATCTGTAATTGGGTGTGTCTATTTGTAAATATGTAATCATGAGAAGTGAAAAAAGAAAACACACCTTACAGTAAGTGAAAAATAAAATCACTAGAGCACAGTGTTCATTGAAGAGGTATGATGGCATAGAAGAAGTGTTAAAAGAAGTTTAAGATAGTTAGATAGTTATAAAGATTTTCCTGCAAATTCATAATTGTACGGAAAATGGATGAATACCGACATCTATTGTTCTTCGAAGCAAAAGATCTGACAGACCGCGAGATGGAGAAGATCAGGGATTACTTTAAGCACAGAAAAGAATCTGGGGGAGGTGATTGTGGGACGATTGAAAAGGTTGGGGGCAACATCTATAAAATTTATTTCAAGGAGAAAGCAGGTAAGAAATCCCATTGGGTTTAAATGGGTCATAGGTTGAATATACTTTACAGTTTTAGTCTAAATGTATTTTTTTGGGACCTTGAACTTTGTTGTTTTTTATAGACCAGGAAAGGGTTTTGCAGAGGAAGTTTCACACCATCTCCCTCCCTTCTGGAGAAGTACGTCTGACCGTGAGCCGAACCAATTTGCCACAGAACCCTGATCAGCCCTCCACGAGTCAGTTACAGGTGAGAAAATCTTGCCCTTTAGAAACCTGTATGATGCATTTGTGATTATGGAAAACACAAATGTCAGAGCCAAATGATCTGGCCCAACCAGTTTGGGCGATTTCTGAGCAGAGTCAAATAATCAAAATTTTATATGCATTGTAGTGCTGGCTGTTGTGTCACCACAAAAGTTGATTTTATAAATTATGAAATCTCACATTTTTTGAATTCATCAATTTGTTTGATATTGCTTTTCTTCTTTAGAAATTCACAAAAGCAAACACAAAAGGCCTTGAGAAGACGTTCAAGATAGATATTTTCCTCCTCTATTACCTGAGAGACAGCCCTAAGGCCTCCAAATTCCTTCAGAAGCAACTCTCTTCTATCGGCTGCACAGCGGAGTTCAATTTTGATAAAATGGAGGCAGTGGTTAGGGGGGATATAGAGAAGGAGTTACAGGTGGATCAGGTCTTCATCAGCCTTACTAAGAGCTACCTCTGCTCTCATGTGTCTGAAACAAAACAACTAAAAATTGTACAGCAGGACTCGTTTATGACTGATGATATCAAAGTGTACACAGAGAACGGTTATGCTGTAGTTGTAGGAGAAGTTCAGGCTGTGAAGGAAAGGATTGCATTCATACAAAAGAGCCTGTCAACCTGGAAGGAATTGCCTATTGTGGAGAAGCAGTTCAAACTGGTAGAAGAAGAGTTTAGTCAAGAAATTTGTGCGCATTGCCCAGAGGTCAAAATCCACAGAGGTAACGCCATGATCATCTTGGAAGGCCCTGACAAGGAGGTGCAGTCAGGAGCAACAAAACTTGATGAACTGAGCAAAAAGGTGAAGGAAAAGAGAGTTAAGCTCCCCACAGATTTAATAAACTTCATAACATTCAGTGGTGCAATCTCCAAGTACCAAACTCGCTTTGAGCAGAGGCTCAGAAATCCTGTTTCCCTAGAGGTGGGGTCAGACCTGGTCCTGTCCAGTTTGTCCTCTGATGCTCTGGATGAGGCTGAGGCAGCAGTGCAGAGAGACCTGAGTGTGGCCACTGTGCAGCTGCAGGGAGCTGCAGCTGTACCTCCAGATCTAGACAGAGTGAAAGAAATCATGATCAGAGCCAAGAACGAGGAAAACAGTGGGGAGCTCAGAGTGGACGTAAGCTTCATACCAGGACCCAGTGGAACCACAGTCACCAAAGTACGACTTGTGGGTTACAGTCAAATTGTGAACAAGCTGAAAGAGGTTCTGCACGACTACCAGATGAACCAAGTTGGGACACAAGAAGTACTGAACCTACCACATCCTGAGCTGGTTGACTGTTTTGATAAATTCTTAGCACTGATTGGCATGAAGCAGAACAAGGTGACCTTAAAAGCCTCACATTCCCCATATCCTTGTGTGCTTGTGTCTGGCCCCCGTTGTCTGGTCCAGGAGGCCCAGCAGGCCCTAATCTCAGCTCTAGCCAGTCTGACATCAGACACTTTGGTTCTAGACGGACCGGGGTCTCAGCGTTACTTCCAAACAGAGGGCAAAGAAAGCAAGGAGCTGGTAGAGAGCTCCTGTCAGATCCTGATCAGGGAACAGAAAACACGAAGTATCAGAAGCCCGAGAAGCCTCACACCCAGACCGTCCATCACCAGACGTCGCAGCAGCACTGTTGGAAGCGTTGTGGTCAACAAGACAAGCCTGGAGATCAAGCTGGGCAGTTTAGAGGAAGAGCAGGTTTGACAATTTATGTTCTAATTTACATAAACTAGTCCAGCAGCAATGCAACACTCAAGTTGATATTATTTTACATTATTTCCACAGGTGAATGTGTTGGTGGTCCCCATGCTAAACAGGCAGCTGACTTCTACGAAAATTGGTAAATGTCTGTTGAAAAGAGCAGGGAACGTGATCCAGTCCAAGTTTGACTCTGTGGCAGCGAATTGTTCTCTTGCCCCTGGTGATGTTCTGCAGATTGATGGGCCTCCATCTCTGGGCTGCTCCAAGCTCTTCTTCATTGAATGCTCACCGTGGGATGGAGTCAGAGGGCAGAGTGTTCAGGTAAAGTGAAATACTTGGTGGATTCAAAAATATTGGAGAGAAAACACTATGGCTGAGGGCAAAGGATAAGTTCAAATTCCAGGTCCACTTACTGACATACAACCATTGTAGTGGGGAACTTCATGACAGAGTTTAAATGCCAGGAACAGTAATTGTGAACAAATATATATAATACAATGTTAAGAGCAAACAGTCATGTGCTAATATTGATTGCAATTGAGGATTTAAATATACAGTCATTTCTGCTGGTTTTCTTTGGACAGATGTCAAAAAGTTATTGTTTGACTGAAACTATAAATGTAATACAAAATGTTGTCTGACCATGCCAGGTGAGGGTAGTCAAAGCTCTTCCGCATGTCCACTTTCAAAGTTTCTCCACAAAGGCATTCATTTGTGTACATAAATAATAATTTGTTGCGAGAAGAATGGCACAATAAGCTTAAGAGAGAAGTTCAAACCCTGCTTGAGTGTGTGCCTCATTAATGAATTAATTTCTTAGAAAAACTGTCTTATAAAGCTCTATAAACCTCAAATCTACTCTATGTCAGTTTACTTTTTTTTACTTTTTTTTACATTTATGAAAGCAATGTGCAATGCAGGGGATTTTTGTTGTTTTGTAGGCACTTGCCAATGGGCTGAAGAAGTGTTTGGACCTCTGTGTACAGCAGCGCTTTAGCTCAGTGGCATTTCCAGTTATTGGACCTGGAATTGTTTTAAAATTCCCGCTGAGTGAAGCCATTCAAGTGCTGACTGAGAACATTCGCCAGTTTGGATTATCTGCATCCTCTGGGTCCCTCTCCACCATGCAGATCGTCATTAAACCAGACTATCCAGACTCTGCGCAGGTGACTATCAACACTCAGACAACTGTAGTAACTGGTTAAGACACATAAATGAATGGTTTATAGATAAGAAAGTGATTTATTTTTATTTACAGTGCTACCATGATGTTCACAGACACCTCAGCTCAAATATGTACCAGGGAGGCCAAGGTAAACTAGACAGCTGCTCAGACTACTATGAACTGTTTATTACAAAAGCAGGGAATAATTAGCACCATTTAAAACATTGTCATTTATTTATTTGATAGCAATATTTCACCATTTCCACTGACATTCTAAATTATATGATTAAATATCAGACATGTTGTGGTTTTCTTCTACTTAGGGATCTTCAGGTCCCTCACCAGTGACCTTGATGACATCACAATGACAGTAGGAGGCGGGGTTAAACTACAGCTGGTGTTTGGTGACATCACTAATGAGACTACAGATGTTGTGGTGAACACGACCGACTTCACAAATTTTCACAACGGTGGGTGAGAGCTGCTGTAGCTGAGGATGTTGTTAGGGTGACCATTCGTCCTCTTTGTGTCCATGTCCTCTATTTGGGACCTAAAAATGCGTCAAGGACCCCTAAACTGACACAAATTAGACCACGGACCCCCATCTGATAAGATTTTGTCTCAGGGTTTTCCCATCTGATAAGATTTTTGCTTTAAGATGTTGTATTACAGAAAGTGTATGAAACCCATGACCCAAGTAGTTATTCAGTTGTTGTGTTACTTAGGGAAATATCATTCTCTTTTTTTGCTGAGAACCCCCTGGAAACCACCCCTGGGAGTCCCCAGCCCCCTATTTGAGAACCACTCAAACAAAACACACACACATTCATTGTGTGTGTTTTTGCATTGCTTTGACCTTTCTCTTTAGGTCCTGCCTTCTCGCATACCACCATTGGTCGGTCATGTAGGCCTGCATGTCCTTCACGCAAACATTGGTCAAACTGCAAACTGGTGGACGCTTTGACAGGAATCAAGCGAACCTGCTATCGCGCAGTGAGTGGCAGACTGTCATCGGGTAACATAGCTGGCAGAGTTTTGCAATATACAAATGTATAATGTGAAGCACAGCCATGCTGTCTAGGTGCTGACAGGTTCAGTTCAGTGTTATTTATTAAAGGCAAAACCAAGAGCGAACACACTTACAAGTAGAGTGGCTGAGTCTGCAGAAATCAAGGTGAATAATCCAAAAGAACAGTGTTATCCAACAGAAATAATCCAGCGGGGTACAGATCCAGGACAGCCAGGGAAGAACACAGAACAAAGCAAAACTACACATGAAATGGGACAGAGCAACAAACAAGCTACAATGACCGGACAGGTACTGAACAGAAACACCAAACATACATACACAAGGCACTAACAAGTAGGGCGGGAGCAGCACAGGTGATAGGGATCAGGGCTAACAAGGCAGGCAGGCAAGCAGAGAGACAGCAGGGAAAAACAGAGAGACAGGCCGGCAAAGAGATTACTGGGGGAACAGACATAACACTTGACAGGCAGACAGAAACTGAGCATCAAACAACACTAGATAGAAACAGAATAAGACAAGAACTTAGGCAGGCACAGATCCAAACAGGAACAGAACTGAAACAAGCAGACTGAACACTGAACACAAGGCACAGGCAACTGACACAAGAGAAGAAACATACTGGAACACAGAACAGACTAAAAACTAATAATACAGATAGATGACAAACGTAACAGGGAAAACAGACTGAACTAAGAACAGAACACAGAGCAGACATGGGCAAAATAACCATAAGCACTGACGTACACAGACCAGGAGTAAACACTAAGACATGAACTGAGACACAGAACTAAAAGGCAGGACTAAGTAGTAAGACAAGAAAACAGAATGAGAACAACACAACAATCCTCACAAGAATAAACAAGGTGAAACAGTAGAACACAAGAAATGGAACCAAAACACAGACTAAATTACAGATACCTAACAGACCACTAAATAAAACTCACAGAAAACTGAACTGAACAGATGCAGATACAAAACCAAAACCTCCGAATCAAAAACCAAACCCTAGAAACATAGAAACAAGAATCAAAATACAGCACACAGAGAAAGCATGACAGGATCATGACACTTGGGAAAGTGAGCTGCACAGAGCTGCTGACGTTATCGTGTACATCCAGTCCCATCTAGTCCCAAGTTATGAATTGTGATTAAATTCCGGAGATGTCCGATTACACTGATATGTGGGATAGATGCAAAAACTTTTGCATAAATTAATTTATCCTTGAGGTGAAAGAGTGCCACATTTAAAGAGGAACTTCTCCAAACAAAGACACAAAGAGGAGGGAAGATTAAATCATGAAAGAAAAATAAATCCAGAATGCTTGAAAGCCATACACCTACTGAATTAAATTCTGGTATGTTTTATATTTTAAATTGTTACCTGCTGCCTGAGTTTGGTGTGTCTGTTGAAAATTAAGTGTTAAATGATAAAATTTTGCAGGGAGAGGACCCCCATACCCCCGCTAAATAAGTGGCTTAAACATTGGTAAAGGAAAAACTATGCTGTTGCTTATTATGAACTATAATATTCCATATATTGTCTAGGATTAAAAGAAATACAGTCTCTAGTTTGACACATAGATTCTGGGGGGAAGACTCTTAGGTTTGGTCAATATTAGGGCTATTATGTCTGGAGGTTGGCAAGTATTCTGATCACACTGATCTTACCATGATCATTGACTTGGCTTTTCATCTATACATATATGTGGCTGTTGAACCTTTAAAACAAAAGTCCTGAGGGTTTAAAGAGTGATGACCCCGACCCCTGTGGTGGGATATGACACAGAACACCTAAAATTAATCAACATCAGTAGTAAATAAAGGCCAGCAAAGCACGTGATGCGCGCAACAGTTGTGCACGTGAATACATTTTTGATTAATAAAACAAATTATTTGATTAATAAACAAATTATTTGATTAATAAAAAACTGTATTAATAAAAATGAATGAAAAATTATATAAAAAAATAATTAAAAAAATTTTATACATACAATTTTATTTACAAAAACAAAGCAACGGTTGTATATAGAAAGGGCTAGTTTTTTACATCTGACCGAGAGTGTGTAACAGTGTGACTGAACGATTTTTTGGGTGAATCTGTATCGGACAGTGCTATCTTCGTGCAGAACAACAGCGCCATCTTTGCAGCATCACAATCATGGACGTCACAGGAAATCAATTAGGAGTAACGACTCCAAAACGACATATAATCATAGATCCTGTTGCAATGAGTATGGCTCCTAGAAAGAAGACACCCCCAACAACATTGGCTGATTTTCTGGACCGAAAGGCTTGGGCACTTCAGTTTGAATGGGCGGAGGAAGATTTTAGAATGTCGGGATTCTTGTTTGAGCACGGATCAGTTCATCTTTATACAAGAGAGCTTGATGAAATTTTTCCGCACATTAGTCTTTCAGCCAAAGACGGGAATTACTTCAGCAACAAAGTCTGTAAAAATATGAGTGCTTCAAAAGGAGTCTATACCACACAATGGTGTGGGTCTGTGCCAGGAGAGCTCTATCGTGTAGAGACAGACCTTGAAGTCTACGAACCAGAATCCTACATCTTTTTTAGATCGGGGACGATTCTATCATTCAAAAGGCAAGGATGGAAACCCCAGGGCAACAAAAAGGATCACGTCTAAACAGTGGGAGACGTGGTTCAGCACCGGCTTTGTGGTCCAGTGGGGAGAATGGGATAGAACCCTTGAAATCTTCTCACACATTGATAAATTATTTAAATGGTATGAACCTTATGTCAGCTATGTAGGGATCAAAAGAAAACTTTTTGGTCCTGAGAACAAGCAAAATGAACAACAAACAACACCGCAGACAACCTCAAAGACCTCCACGACGGGGCTGACGGTGACATTGTTCTAATTAAAATGTTTTGTGCAGGTACGAGGACATGTGCAGCGGGTGAGGATATTTCGAGCAGCCCTAAATATTTTTCAATACTCCAGGATGATCTCGTCGATAACGCATAGGTGGATGACTATGGTAAAGAACTGGTAAAGAAATTTAACATTTCTCGTTCCTGAAGAAAAAGCAGAAGAGGCCAAGAGCAGCAACCTCACACATGCATTGACACGCTGCCCTTCTTTTATATCAAAGGACATAAGAGAGAAATTACACAGAAGCTTTTTAACAAAAATTTTGCTGATGCTCAAAAGTATGTACTACGCGGTCTTGGGTTGGTGCCAACGTGTGAATGCAGTATTCGAGACATTGCAGCAGCTGCTCTACGGATTTGTCTGAGGAACCCTTTTCTCATTGCTTCGCTTAAACGGGTAGTTAGAGTGGAGGACAGTGTGAACACTGTAGTTAAGGAATCTCTGGACATCTGGAAGGAGGAACAACACTAAAAACAATGGGGAATGTGTCTAGTCTACTAAACCATGTCAAAAAGAGATACATCGTGTATAAGATGAGAGCACTGTTGTGTGAAACTGTTAACAACGCGATATGTGACACAGATAGGACACTATGTTGTTCTAGATTTGACAAATAGACAAACAATGTGTTAGACGAATGACCTCTGGATGGCGAACCATGGTGCAAATGACAGCGGATAAATATGCAGATATGAAATCTACTCTACTTGATATAGCAAATGGATTTCCTGTGAACGATAATGAGTTTCATATGGGTCATGTGTTTTGTTTTTGTACTTTTAGCATTAATTTGTGTGTCTTAAGGCTAACCAGAAAACAACATGTCGATGTTGCTGATGTGATGTATTGATTAACTGAATCTTTGGTTTGTAAAAACATAGGTGTCTTGAAATTTTCTGAAAAGTGTATACTTGTAATCATTGCTGACTGATATGTTGCATATGTCGTTGGAAATAAAATACTTGAACACAGACGTTGAAATGTCAGTCTTTGTAACAAAGATCATGGAGGAGTTGATGAGAAATAATAGATTTGTTTTCAAAACATGTATGGGACGCGTTAAAAAAATATAAGAGTGGTAAATGTGTCACAGAATCCTTTAAAGATATCTTAGCTGAAGGTAGAATACCGCATAAAATTCAAACTGACAAGGGAAAAGAGTAACAAAAGACAATGACGATATCGTATTTAACAACTTGTATAAAACAAAAGATAAAAGAGTAATTCGTTTTAAATATAATGTGGGTGATACTGTAAGAATTTCAAAACTACGCGGCCCTTTTAAAAAAGGTTAAGAGCAAAATTATACTGATGAATGTGTCAAGGGACCCTCCTGTTTACAGGTTAAAAGACTATGATGGCAAAATATTACAGGGAACATTTTATGAGCAAGAGATGCAAAAAGGCATTATAGATAGAAACAAAACATTTAAAATAGAAATGATTTTATCTAGAAAGAAAAGACAAGGCTGGGACATTATTGCGGTCAGGCATGTTTATTTACATTCTCTTAGGCACATACACAACAGGCAGGTCTGAAAACAAGTCAGATCTGAGTCTGAAATCATCAGGTGTCTTAGCTTTAAAATAAATCATCAAATAACCATGAGGAACACTCGTTGAAAATCCATTAAAAGAAGACTCTTCCCAGGAAACATTTGAGGCGCATGGGCAGGAAGCAGTATGAGTCTATCCACCAGCATCAAAAGAACTTTGCTACCTCTCATGATTAGCTTTGGTGTT